TTTGTCATATTTGCATACATAAGGTTGAGAAATAAAAAAAATATATGGGAAAATTAAAACCCATTTTGTCCCTATTCTCAAGAATCACTGACAAATATTTGCACACCTTTGTAATGGAAACTCAGCAGCCTAATTCCTGAAGACACTAACCCTGCGCTACAAGAAAAACACAAAAACGTAACATTTATATAATTTGTGCTTTATTGAGAAAACGATTGTACAGGATAGTGTTGATTGCAGTAGCAGTAGATCACAAGAGCATAACCCATATTCTACCATGTATTACACAGAAAACACCTGGACATGTTGAAAAGGTCATGGTGTTTCATGGCATTTCAACAAAAAGGCATGAAATGGCAACAGAGGGGAAGTACCCTGAAATAACTAAATCCTTTACTGGCTGCACATTTTCCTGGTAAATGGGAGTAAAAGAGGATGCTGCAGTTGCTTTTGCATCATTTGGCGATGGTTTGACAGAGACTTCACTGAAGCCATAAAGCAGGAGGCCACAGAACATCTGCACAGCAAAATCTGGAGGAACCCGGTAATTAAAACATAAAGCGATCAAGATAAACACAGAAGCCTGGCAATAAGATTCCTATAAATGAGTACGTTCCATTCTGCACACAGCATCAACCTGTTCTTAAATGGCTTAAACACACGAGATTATCCGTCACCTGAAGATTATTCCTCCCCTGATCAAATGCTTATCCTTAAAACACGCGACCGTTTTATTTCACACCCATAAACCAAAGTTGTGTAATGCAGGAGGGCATTTTCTGAAATTATTCAAAAGTGCAAATCACATTTATTAGATCCAATAAAAAATAAGAACCCCAACCATTTAACCGCCCCTGGATGTTTTAAAACTATCTGTACAGAATGAAAAACATTAAGAGTCTGGTGGCTAATATTTCCTTCATTTTACCTACAAGGCGCAATTAAGGTAGATCAGTTTACACATAGGTGTTAATTTATTTTATTTCTTTATTTTACATGGCTGCTCTGCTTAGTTAATGCATCTTATATAAATGTAAGCATGACACAAAGTGCTTTAGGTGCCAGTGTACAGCTTGGGTTGAATGCTGAGAGAAATCTACGTTTAAAGGTGGAAATACAGCAATTAGGAATGTTACATCACCTTATTCGTTCAACTGTCTTTGAGCTTTAATTTAAAAAAATACACAAAGATGCAAAAACATAAAAAAAACTTCCACAAATATTAAAAAAAAGAACATTAAAATAAAGAAAATGTCAAAAAGGCAACAATCTGTCCAATTCTACTCCAACAAATAGTAAATTATTTCTGCTGTAGCAAAGTAAAACATGATTTTTGAAAAAAAGCAAAGCCTCTCTACTTCATGCGAGTGATCAGATAAGCAGCTGGATTTGTGTTTATAGGAGCCTCAATCAAAAAATATAATCTTTGGTCATCTTGAGGGACGGCATGGCTTCGTTGACGTTCTGGTCCAGCCGCCGATATTCCACGTTGTTACGGGAACATAAGCCCTCCTTCCAGCGGCGGCTCTGAACCAGCAGGAAGATCTGAAAAATGGGAAATGACAGAAATTAAAGGGATCAGACTGATGAACATCCATTTGTTTGGTCAACTGAAACTGAAGGACAAATAGACGAATCAACCCTCATTTCTACTTTAAATTCGGGGAGAGCAACAAGTTGCATCAACCTTCAGCTTCTGAGCTCCAAACTGCAAAACTTATGAAACATGGATTTCCTTTAAATCAAGGCTAAAAACCCACCAGCTCAGTACGGAAGAAGATTAGGGTCAAAGAAAAAAAAAAAAAAAAAAAAGGCAGACAAAGAATTTGGAAGGGAGAAAAGTCAGAATTTGGCGCTTTATGTTGACAACTTGGCAGCTAAAACCAAAGCTAGCCATCGTTAGCGAGCAGCTTTTGCCCTCCAGCAGGAAGTGGTCCATATTTTCTAAACATGTAATAGACAGTTTACCCCAGAAAACCTGCTAAGCCCAAGTAGTAGCAGCGCTAGCCATGTCCGCTAGCATCTCACCAGTTTTATGCTAATCAATGCTAAAAGTTATAAAAATCCAGAGGTGCACAAGCGTCATAATTTGTAAATAGGGTTGAACCCAGTTCAGTGCTTCAACTATTGAAAAATAAAGAACCCTGCATAGAAAACCGTTTTTAAAACAAACGACGCTCAGCCTGGTGGGGAGAAAGTAAAGCCTGGTGGCTGCCAGGCTGATGAAACACAAAGTTTGAGAGATGAACTCAAACGAAAACATCGATTCTCCACACACTCCAGGGAAACTGCTCAGAGTTACTCAACTGATTACCACCAAATGCGCACGCCTCACCTTCCTCTTGTTGTGATAGGTGATGTAGACGGCGGCCACCAGGAAGGCCAGGATGACCAGGTGGAAGAAGAAGTGGGAGTCCTGTTCCTCTGAGCTGAAGCTGTCCACTTCCCCCACCAGATTAACCTGCTGCTTGGTGTCGATTCGCCCTTTATTTTCCTTTCTCCCTTCATCGGAAGAAAGGATATAGTCTTCGTAATCTTCGTCGTCTTCATCAGGTTTGGAGGGTGAAGTTTCTGGAACGATTTCTGGTGGCTTCTCCGTACCCAGCTGTGGATCGACGCTTTCTGCTGTGGAGGTGGGCTGGACGTCAGGCTCACCTGTTGGCTGGGTCACCTTGGTGTTGGCGGTGGGAGCAGGAGTGGTCGTCCTCACTGCGTTCTCTTTCCTAGACGTTTTCTCTGCAGGTGGGGGGAGCGTGCCATTAGCGTCTTTCTTGCTCTGTGCTGAAAGATGCACAGTGGATTCTACTTGACGGGTCGTCTTGTTGACATCTTTGGCGTCGGCAGATGCCGTGTTGGGGGCGGCAGCAGTTATTGATGCGAGCGTTGGTCTTGGTGTACTCCATTTCTCTGCGTCTGTGGTCGCGTCTGTCTGAGCTGCTACCACAGCAGAGTTGTTCAAATTCAGTCGTGGGTCTAATCCCTGAGAAGTCCTCAAATCTGATGGAGAGAAATAAAAATATATACATGTGTATCGATATCCATGACTGTCGACATAGATGCTTATTGATTTGTTCCAAATATCTGAGATACTGCCAAGCTGGTGTTGTGACGTTTCCTGTTTTATCCAAAGTTTTCTCTCCGTTTTTTATTTTAAAGCAGTCATGAGGCACAGTGGAGAAACTTTAAACTGCTGCTGTGCAAGTTACCCAACAGGTTGTTGCTAAGCAACCAAAGAGCGACTGAGTAACCTAGCATACCTAGCTTTGAGAGGTTAAAGCCTTTCCTCTGCCTACATCTCCCATGATGCCATGCGGTTCTGGATCAGATATATCATCTATTATCTATAAATAAACTGCAGTAAAAACAGAAAAAGAAAAACTTGGATCCTCTTACTGACATATCTGTGTGATAAAAAAACCTGAATTTATGAATCTTTAAATAAAACATGTTGCTCCTCATAAAGACATGAGAAAAAATGCAGAAAACACCAATTCAAACCAAGAAGTTATTGTAACACACAAAGTTGTTCATTTTGGCAACATTTTAATATATTGATAATATAGACTGCTTTTTTAATTCTAAACTTTAATTTTGTAAAGAACTGTGAACACTGAAACTGGAATATATTTTAAATATTCAAATGAAACACGACGCCCAAAACAAAGCGGAAAATACACAAAACCAAAGAAGTCTCTAAATAAAACTTCCCTTCAACAAATATCAGAATCATTTTAATTTATCACATGATTGATTGATTATTGAAAACACGACGTTCTGTCCTAAATTCAAAACGTTTAAAAGTGAACCGACTGTATTCTCCTAAAAAAAGAAATTAGGTCAGACAGGTAAAACAGATGCGTTGTGTTATTTACATAAATAAACCGAGCTATGCACTGCTTGCAGAAGTATTCATACTCTGACATTTTTCCTACAACTTCAGCGCACCTGAACGTTTTTTTTTTTAAATCTGATTTTTTGGCCAAACAGTATTCATCTCAAAGAATTTGAACATCAATGACTGTAGTTATTAAGTTTATCTTGTCTCCTGTTCAAGCAAACCGTTCACACATGCAATTTATTGATTTAATTCTTAATTTTTTTTGCAAATGCTTAAATTTCCAGCAAACTGCAGCCTGTAAATACAACCCAAATTTGGAGACGTCTTTAAATTTATCTCAGTGACAACATGAACCAAACAGTGTTGCCATTATTTCCTGCTCAGGGAAAATGAGGCGTTGCTTCATACGGGAGGCGAACACTGACGACTTTAAGTGTGCAGTAAGACGCCCCCAAGAGAAGAAAGGGCCTATTCAAAGTCAGGGGCCTTTGCCAGCATAAATCATCCCTGAACAGGAGCTGCTTGTTTAGTTTCTCTGAGTAAAACATGAGAGGCATTCAGGATATAGACAGGTTTCCTTAAACTCTCACAGAAAGACAAACATTTACATTAATAATGTAAAAAAGGTTAAACGAAAATATAATCTGAAAATGCTGCAAAGCGAGAATCTGAAACTTAAACAATAAAATCCTTTTAATTGCTCACATAACGGCGTTACGCTTACAGTCCAAATGTTAACAAATCAAACCTTTTCATTATATTAAAATAAAACTGAAATAAAAGCCAAAACTGCATCCATCATGAAAACAATTATCCTAAAAGTTACTGAGAATATTGTTGTTTCAATAATAGTTATAGTAATATAACGGCATAATAATCCAAGAACTCATTCTCATGGACCAATAAACTTTAAATAAATAAACTTTAAATTCTAAGGAACATTTAGCATTGCACCTGGAAGACACTTTAAATATCCAAAATAAATAAACAAAACAACAAATAAAATGAATTATAAAGTCTCTGTAAACAAAATTATTCTTTAAAAAACGGTTAGCAGAGACTAAAACACCAGACTGAAGACTTTTCATCCAGTTTTTGGCAGAAAGGGAAAAACGATAAATCATGGAAATGGAAATTATTGAGTTTGTTTCAATTTATCATGTGATTAATTTATTGCTACAGGCCTTTAAACAGAAAACCTTTAAACTGCTGCTCCACTGAGTGAGGGAGGAGCTGCGCCTCGGAGGCGGGGCTGCGTCCACCCAGGCATTTTGCTCAGCTGAATTGTTACCATGGACATTAAAGGATTTGTCAAACATGGATGAAATAATCAAGGCAACACTCCAGGTAAGTCTTCATGAGGGAATAACATTGGAACATGATGGAAATCTCTACAATGTTGATCTTACATGAAACTGGCCTTTAAATATCTGAAATTCCAGAAACTTTTCAGAGGAAGACAAAATTATAATGTTTTAATAATAATAATGCTCTTGTGGCTTTAAAAACCCACATATGCATGAAAACCAGGAAGTAAAGGGATGACTGACTAGAACAAACAGAAGGAACTGTAACTGAATCATCAAACATCTTTCTGCTCCTTTTCAGCATTATTTACTCTTATTATTAGCAGTAAGGATGTTTTGTTCATTTAATCTTGTGTGGAATATTGCAACATTTCAAAATAAAGTTTTAACTGCTTATGTTTACTTGAGTAACTTTTTTTTTATGTTTTATTACACTGTACTTTTAACAGTTTGTTAAAGTAACACTTCCTGTTTGTATACAGGCTGTGATGTTCTAATGTTATTTTCTATTTTTTGACCATGTTACGTCTGTAGATAAAGACACAACACAGCAAGTAGTTTACTCCATTCAAACATGCACTATATACACATTGCCATATTAGTCTTAAAATGAATAAAACTGATTTGTTCTGCTTAAAATCTGTTTTTGTAATAAAATTTGATTTGTCATTTTAGTTCTTAAAATACCGAAATTTGCACATGACCTATATATTTTAGTTAATTAGTAGTTAATTGTAAAATATTAAATCAGATGTTCTGATCAGATAGTACAACTTTTGACCTTCAGCTTAGTAAAATATGTTGAAATAGTGCTATTTTAACAGAAGTAAAGTTAAATTTTGTGGTACTTCTGGGTAAAGCTGAACATCACGCTCGGATATTTTCGGTTTTACATATTAGAAACGTTATCTAAGGTATTTCGATTTGGTTTAAACAAAAAAACCTTTCTGCTACAAACTATTACTACATGGCACATTAGTCAGAGAAAAACAAAAATAAAATCAACAGTTTTATGCAGTTACGTATTCAAAACCAGGCTGTCACAGTCCAAACTAACACCAGTGGTTGCTAACTTTACATGCTAATTAGCCACAGCAACGACGCTCCTGTTACTAAAGACATTCTGACAGCACATAAAAACACGCCAGCGCCGTACCTGGTGTTATGCTAACTGGAGCTGAAAGGCAGACGTTAAACCACAGCTGGAGGAAAATAAGCAAACAAAAGACGTAAATATTTCTCCAGCTTTGCGTCGAATTTCTGTGCGCCGCCATGTTGATAAGTGACTGGAAGGAGGCGGGCTTTACGATGGCCTGATATACACGGTGGGTGGGGCGTTTCTCTGCGCATGGCCGCGCATCATTCTGTAGCCGGGGAGCGGAGAGGTGCGCCGCGGTGGGTGGAGTTTGTGAGAAAATCAGCAGGAATACATACCAGATTCACCGCTTGCCTTCCGTATTACAACTGGAGCTAAATTAAAGTGTAACATAATTCCCAGCTACCAAGAAACGCTACATTTACCTTCCATTCAAGAGGATAGTTCCTCCCTCACCAGTACAGCTCAGTCCTACCCAGGCTACTTGCCAACTGACGGTTATGAGGCTAACCCTCTTTGTCTTGTTCCTTAATCTGACATTTCTTCAATTAGTTTCAAAGTCACTGAAGATCAGAAAACCTACTTACACCTAAAAGGAACCATTTCTAACTTAGAAGTTAGACATTTTCCCTCCATCAAAACACAGAGGGCTTGTCATCAACCCCCCAGCTACATTAAGGCAGGAAGTGAATCCATAAATCCTGCTGGAAAATGTCTGAAAGAACTGGGCAGTAAACCCAACCCTGCAGGCATAAAAGACTTAAAGAAATTCCTGTTTGCAGACACTCCCAGGTGATCTTTGCTCACTCAAACAGGTTAAGGCCGTTTCAGTGACAGGATTGCTTTGTTATATTAACGTGGACTGTTCTGCGTTTTTTGCACAAACTGTTCGCATCTCATCTCGTGTGGAGAGTATTTTTTCTTTAACTTAACTGTGACAAAGTAGTAAACTTTCAGAAATGCATTGGTAGGAAGTTGTTGTAGATGAAGTGGAATAGTGAAAAATAGTTTTTAGGGTTTTACATCATTTGTAGGCAGCGTTCAACCTTTGAAAAAAAGAATTGTGAATTATATGATTGTATGAATTTTTGGTTAAAACAGGTTTGATTTTCGCCAGTGGGAAGAAAATCCATAAAGTTTATTCCAGTAACAGTAGAGATACTTCAAAATGAAATTACTCAAGAAAAAATTATAGTAAAAAAACTCCTAAAAGTAAATTTTTTTTTCTAAAAAGTTCCTGTAACTAGAAACTACCCAGCTTTGGAGTTGTGACAAAAGGTCGAAGGTTGTTTATTTGTACCAAGGTTATCAACTTAGAAACAAAGAGAGAAGAAATTGGTTCAAGATGTTCTTTATTTAGACCAGGAAATGACAAAACTGTCAAGTACAATAACCATCAATCCAATAACCCGTTGTGGAAGACAAAACCATTCCTTGGAGTGTTTCTAATCCTTTCTTTTCATCCTCCATCCAGAAGCACAAACTCTTCATCAGTTATGTGCTTGACAGTTTACCTGTGAGGGCTGACGTGTCTTTGCCTTCTTAAGACTTCGAGTGGATCTAAAACTAGGCAACACCCTCAATAAAATAGTATTCTCTGTTGCTATATGTAACCAAAAAAACACCAAAAGCACAGACACAAAAGACAGGTGAGACAAAAACACAGAGTAATGTACGCGTTGGGACGTAGTGTCGCTCAGAGCTGTTAATTCACCAAAGACGGACAGGAACTCTCAGTGCGGAAATGTTTGAAGGAAACGTTTCATGACCACCAGGTCTTCTGAGTGAGAAGTGCTTTCTACAGCTAAGTAACAGCGCCACCTAGAGCAGTAACAATAGAATTGCATGCTAATTGTGTTGTGGGGCTTTTCCCTTTTCAATTGATTAAAAAGTAACAAAAGCATGAAACTGACTTGATGTACTGAAGCATTCGGTTCTCACAGCTTTGTTCTAAACTGGGCTTTTGAACACAAATATGGTCCTTTAAACTGGATTTGTTTCACCTTCACTTACTTCCACCTGTAACATTTCAAGGGGAGACGAGGGGCTGGGCTACTCCGAGGGTTTAAGATATTCTTGGGTGAGGAATAAGTGTGTGGGGAAACGTTGAAGTCTTTCCGTCTACGCCTGGAACTCCAGACCCACACCGAGCTTGTGGCCGCCCGTGTTGATGTTTTTACCATCCAGGAGAGCAGAAAGTGTCAACTTCACACCTGCAGAAACACATTTAAACGTTCATTTTTACCGCACTGCAAGAATATCCTCCACAAACCTCAACTATCCAAATGGAAAAACAGAAATAAAAGGTTCAGACATCCAAATATGTTTAAATATTGTAAATATTATTGCTGAGCAGAAATCACTAGTAAATATTAAAATACTCAATATTTCTAGACTAGATTGAGATACTTAAAAATGTAACAATAATGGAATTATTGATTATTTTGATAAAGGTAAAAAGAAAGTTTCACATTGCTCAAACACACATAACTGAAACCTCCAAAGATTTATTGATTTAATATTTATAAGTAGAAAAAGCAAATTCTAGAAATGCAATGTGATCTTTGGATCATAATTTTAGTTAGAAAACTATCAAAAATGAAAAGTAAAAGTTTTTAATTAGCTGCTGCAGAGCAGAAGTTTGGCCTTTACTGCTGTTGTAATGTTATGACTGTATAATGATGGAGTATGTGGAGACTAAATGTATATTATATGATATCAGACTGACTGACCACAATAAAACAAAATCCACACTTTTATATCAGGAGTGATGACAACTGTTGAAAATTGAATAAAAATTAATAATTTTCAGGATAAAATTTAAGATTTTTGTAAACATTAAAATAAAGTGTGATGCGTTTTGGTAAGCAACAATAAAGCGAGCCGCTCTGACTCTCCCTAAATATTCACAAACACTGAAAAGACGGACGGCATTTATGAAGCTAAAACATTTTACTGCAGTGATACTTAGCAACGTTTTTACTTAAAAGACAGTAACAAGAACAGCAAGCTAAAGCTAACTAAGGATTCTGGAGATACTCCAGCATAATAATGCTGGTCAGAATTGGAGCATTTCTCAGGCAAGTTTCTGCTACATAATTAGATAAATTCAGTGTTTCTTTCCATTTAGCTTTTTCACATTTCGAGACTGAGAACCTAGAAATGAACAAACAGAATCAATTAGGAAAATGTGTAAAAAAAAGAAAGAAGATAAAATAAACCCTTTAAATTTCCTGCAGACTGAACTCACCTGGCTTAATGTTCTGAGTGTAGCCCAGTCCAATAAGGCTGGAGTTGTTCACCTTCGCCTGTCAGGAAAACACAGATCAAATGTTCAGAAATCAAACACTAAAAAACAGACCCCACAGTTAAAGGAATATAAACAAATGTAACCATTTAGAAACTATTTTTTAGTCATAATTTAATTAAACAATAAAACGGTTCTAATCTGTTTTGCAGAATTGGGCCGAGAGTCAAAATGTTCAACTGAAGCCGAGTAACTTCAAATAGGAATGGGGCTAAATGACGACACAAACAACCAGCCGCACTAATTAGCTCTGGGGAAAGTGGGACTTAGGACTAATGTGATAGACGGGACTGAATTAGCAGAGATCTTCCTGTAGTACGCAGACTTCCTGTTTGGGTTTGTGATCGTCTGTGCCGACCTGCAGCTCTTTTCCCAGGCAGGAACGTGTCTGAGGCTCTGCGGTTAAACAACATGGCCGCTTGGTCATGAAGACTAAAAACAAAAAAAACTGGTGGTTTTAAGGAAGGGATGTCCAAAGTGCGGCCCAGGGGCCATTTACGGCCCTCTGGAGGATTCTGTGCGGCCAACTCCTTCCTAGAAAGGAGTAAATCTGCTTTGCAAGTTGCTGCAGCCGAACTATTTTTCAATATTTCTGCTTTCATCCACGAACTGAAATCATCTACAGCTCAAATAAGAAAACAATCAATCCCCAAAAGTTTAACCTGTCATTATAAAAGATGAAACATTTTCATGTTTTGCATCAACCATGATTCACAAAAATCTGACTATTTTGTTGATTTAAATCTAATTTTACACTTTTAGTTTATAATAGAGCAGATAAAATTAAAAAAGGCAGAAAAGTTTTTTTGAAGGTGTTCATGTTGTGACGACTTCCTGAAGGCGGAGTGTCAGAGCAGGAGCTTCTTAAAGAGACAGACACCCTTTAAGTCAGGTTTGACAGATGTAGCATTTCTATAACAACTGAAGTTAAAATAATTACTGGATTGAGCTACAAAATCACACAATGTGGCTGGGAAACACAGAATAATGTTTTTGACCCCGAGGTCTTTTCTACTTAATGAGTTCGGGATTTAAATTTGATTTATTATTTATAATAAATGATATAGCAATTTTATAATAATATTTAATTTGCCTTTGGGATTAATAAAGTATTTTTGAATTTGAATACCATAACATGGTTTTGATTACAAATTTCTGATAATTATGGAGTCGGTAAGAAACATATTTCATTAAATTGAGATGAGGGGAAGGAATAAATAGGTGATAAAAGATAAATCAATAATCTTTTGAAATAAATACATGAAACTCACAGAGAAAGATGCGTCAGAATCGATCTGATATTTGGCGGCGATGCCAAAGCGGGTGTTGCTGTTTCCTGCAGTCCAGGCCAAGTTGACGGCCGTCTCCAGCTTGCTGTTCACCTTCTGGTAGATCGACCCGCCAAACTCGGTGCCATCGTTGCTGTAAAGAACCAGCAGGTTACCTTAAGTCCTAGAAGCCAGTAACGTTTGTCTGACCTCACATAAAGACTTCAGAGGATTTACCAGGGGAAGCAGCAGGAACAAGGGCCGTCCCTCACGCTCACCATCACCTCATCTGACTTGTATAATAAATTACCAGGCCATAAAAAGATCCAACTTATAGAAAACTAAAAGATCCAGCTTATAGAAAATACTTAAAATAGGTTATTTATTAGAATGCAATAACACATTCTAAAACATCAATAACCTTTAAATTATAATAAACATTTAACACTGGAACTGGAAAACTTTAAATATCCAAAATAAATAAAAAACAAGAGAAACAAATAAAGTCCCAGGAAACAAAATTATCCTTAAAAAAAGGGACAATTGAGACCAAAATAGTAGACTGAAGACTTTTTTGGTGGACAGATAGAAAAGAAAAAACAATAAATCAAACAAATGGAGATTATTGAGCTAATT